ACACTGGCAGAACAAGGACTTAAAATCTGTGACAGGCAAACAAACATAACCCAGTACACATGACTTGGATGCACATTCCACAGATTGGTTAAAAATATTCTTCATAGCAAAAGTTGAAAAACAAGTGGAATTTAAGCCAGCTGCGAAGGCACATGCCTGTAATCCTGGGCTGAGGAGGTTTGAAAGTTCAAGCCCAGTCTGGGCAAGTAAGCAACTGAGCAAGGCCCTGTCTTTTTTCTTTTTGGTTTTTGAGACAGGGTCCCCCTATGTAGTTCAGGTTGGCCTTGAACTCACTATGTAGCCCAGGCTGGTCTCCAACTTGCAGCAATCCTCCTGCCTCAGCCTCCCCAGTGCACCAAGGATTACAGACATGCACCACCACACCTGGAAACAATGTCCTGTCTTTTAAAAAGAGGTAAGGATGCACCTTAGTGAAAATGCCCTTGGTTCAACCCCCAGTACCAAAAAAAAGAGAGGAGAGACAGAAACAGAGAGAGAAGAAAGGAGATGATGGGAAGATAGAAACAACGAAATTTGGGGAAAGGTAGCTCCACTAGCAACCTAAAGGGTAGTGAACACAGAGTAGTATTTCTCTGCATGCAGCTACCACTTTACCTTGACTTGGATGTAGAAAAGCTAATTATATTAATTTGGGCTCAATCCCAAACATATTTACTGGGGACCTGCTACATAGAAACCTCCCCTCCCAAAGGGTACGAATGCGAATGGAGCCCCCTGGGGACGAGGAGAGTGCAGGACTGACCAGAACAGAATGGTGAAGAGGCTGCCAGGGTGGTCCCAAAGGTAAGCGCCCCACGTGACGGAGAGATACAAAGCACTCTTGCGCAGGAAGCACTGGGAGATGGTGCCTCTGTTCAGACAGAGAAGCAGCAAAACGGCACCAGCGCCACGTCAGTGGTACAACCACCCAAGTGCGTAGGTGTTAGGGAAAGCGGCAGGTAGTGGAAAGGACCAGTTTCACACAGGCTGTGTTTCTGAAGGGCAGAGGACAGGAAGGGTTACGGCCGTGGGGGGCCCGCTAAGTGAGCGCGGACGACAAGCTCCATGCAGGGATGGAGGAGTCTACCGGTTGGCAGCTTCTCTGTAGGACTAAAATCTATTACTAGAAAGAGTACTCCACTGTCAGGATGGTCAGGTTCCAGCTGGTCCCAGCCTTGGCAACAGCTCGCTTCCTGTGTGACTTCAGGCAAATCCCTTCACCTCTGTGAGTCTCGTTTCACATCAGAGGAAAAATGAGTTGGGACTATTTAATTAATTGATTGATTTTATTTTTACAATACATGTGTACCATAGAGTCGGGGGTCACGAAGTATTTTGCTGTCTAAACAAGACACTCTCAAAGGTCAAAGAGAGTGCTATAGTCATCGTGTCAGCAGGACATGAACTTGAACTCCTGATTGCGGGGAAACTGAGACGTACACCGCCTCGCCTGAACACACCCTTCAGCTGGAGGAGCACCTCTGGGTCCCTTTTCACATCCACAGCCGGCCGGTGCCTGGCCGTCCAGACGCTGCTTCCTTTCGGTGAGCATTCCTGAATTCTTTATGTAACCAAAGCCCCTGATCTGTTCTTCCGAAGCTGGAGGAAGCTGAACTGTCCTTGTGACAAGCAGCTGCCCCTATCCTACTACCGCTTTTGCATTCTGTATTGTTTTCAGGTAGCTTCCGTCTCTACTGGCACAGAAGGTAAATACTTACGTATGAACCCCATTCTTTTTCAGGTGAAAGAACTGGTAGCCACAGGGTAAATGTGGCTGGTCTGGAGTTCTGCAATCACTCAAGCCCTGACTGGGAATATGAGCCGCGTTTCAATAGACTGTCAATGATCACATTGATCAAGTAAGACATAAAAGAGAGCAAATCTAAGAAACACATACTAATCCACACTTTCACAAATCTTGGAAGGAACATGTTCTTTACAGACCTAAACTGCTCAAAACTGGATAACCCACACCATAAGGAAAAGATAAAAATTTGAGGAGATAAAAATTTTGACCTCACTTAAACATTATGCATGTATCAAAAATTACACAGTATCTCAACAGGTGCAAGTTTTATGTTTGTATGTGTCAGTAAAAAAGATAAAAGAAACCAGGTAGCCCAGAAATGACGACAGATATCTGACCATGCTGAACAACGTGCTAGGTTTTCAAATAGCCAATTGTTTTTTTCAAGGAAAGCACAGCTTAGCTATAATATATTTTCTTTCAACATCAATGCTATTTTGTCTTATAAGCATTTCCACTTATTTGTTTCTGAACTGTAATTGAGGACAGAAGGGGGAGGAAGAAAATAACAGTCACTCCTTCTGTACTCCAAGGAGCCCTCTGCTCCTCTGCACCCTCTGGAATGTTCCCTTGGTATTAATTAAAGAACTGCAAATATGAGTCAGACCCATGGGCTGATGGGTGACATAACTAAATATTCTGAGAATATGTGTGACTAAGGAAATGAACAGCCTTTCAGTCAAGATCAAAGGCAAGAGGGTAAAATACGCTACAGAATGTCCCAGGAAAGGATTTAGCTTCGGTGTCAAAAGAACTGGACATATCCACTACCTTGGAACAGTTTAAGAAATAAGTGGTAGAGATTTCATAAATTATGAATGAGAAGAGAAAAACTCCACTGTGTGTTGGCCAGGGCTGAATAAGGAACAATCCTTGTAAACAGAGACAAAAGGAAAACATCAGCGAATCCAAGAACACTTGCAGCACTACTGAATGTACGAGAAAGGGGCCTCCAGTTTCTCGGAAATCTCTAGAATGTCTAGTACTTGCCAGTGTCCAAAGCGTTCCTTAAAGTCATATGAAATCCAAAGACACAGGAACGTATATATTTATGGTTTCTCTCATCTGAGAAACCCAAGTATAACTGAATCAAGGCAGGCTTTTTGGAGAAGGGAGAGGGAAATGCGGGAAGGAGGGAGGAAGGTGCAGCAGAGGAGAGGAAAGGGGCATCGAAATGACTAAGATACGTCATGTACGTATGGGTACTAGTCCCCCAAATGAATGTAAATTGCATGTATGACAAACATATAGTAATAAGAAATTTTTTTTTCTTTTTTTGGTTTTTCTCCGGTACCAGGAACCGAACTCACGACCTTGCGCTTGCCAGGCAGGCGCTTTTGTCGCTGAGCTAAATCCCCAGCCCAAGAAATTTTTAAAGTAGAACAGAGATGTACAATTTTTAAAAATCCAAACCCAAAAACTCCAATGTATTAATTCCATTTTTAGAAGAGGTTCCCTCAAACAAAAGAAGCCTAGCTCTGTCTTCACTGGCCAAGCACTTTAAATCACTTTTAGAGTAGAAAACATGTCTTCCCTTATCCAGGTGGCACGCTGGTCACCTCACAGCCTGGCGGGCGGCACCCAACCAAGCCGTCCTCCCCAGAGCAAAAAACCCAGCGGCATGCTGGGAAGGTTTTCAAGGGTTTCTGAGGAAGAACTCTGAGACTTCAGTAAAAGAATTCTTTGTTTTATAGACAAACATGTTAGGATGAAGCTCTTCTTCTTATTCACTCCTTTGTGTTTGCTTGGAATATTCTACACTTTTACACAAACCTGTCCCTAGCTTTCTCCAGCCTTGAGAAGTTCTGGTGCCAAGACCTTGTGCCAAGTGACTGTGTAGCACTCTACCTGGATTCTCGGTGATTTTCACATTTCTCTTCCGTCTCTAATGAGCCAGGAATACTGCTAACAAGCTCTTTTAGAAGCAGAGATGTCCTGCTGGCCATGGTGGCGCATGCCTGTAGGCCCAGCACTCTGAGAAGCTGAGGCAGGAGGATTGAGAGCTCAAGCCCAACCGGGGCAACTTGTGATTTAGCAAGACCTTCTTTCAAAATAAAACGGGATATAGCTTGGTGAAAGCCCTGGGTTCAATCCCAAGAACAAACACCATCAATAGCAAAACAAAAACAAACAGCAAAGCCAGAGGTGTCCCTCTGGTTGTTTTCTCTATGATCTTTATTTTAATTTATTGACTAATTAATTTGTTTTGCAGTACCGGGGAGTAAATCTTTGGGCCTTCACATGGAGCTACACCTCTAGCCCTGTTTTTTGTTTTATTATTTTATTTTGAGACAGGATCTCAGTAAATCATTAAGCTGTCAGGCTGGGTTCACACTTGTGATCCTCCTGCTTCAGCCTCCCAAACTGCTACCACACCCAGTTTTTTCTCTAAGATTTTGCTGCAGCCCAAGGGTTGCTCTTCTACCAGGGCTGATGCGCTTTAATACTTTATTCCTGAGAAACTTGGCAGACGAAGGATAGAGGACAGATACAGAACCAGGGACGGCAAAGAATCAGGAACATTCTTCCTTCCCCGGCTCACTCTCCAAACCGGCACAGAGTCTGCTCATGATGCTCAGTATCATGAGTACCACAAAGGGCGGTTTCTATTTCTCAAACAACTAAGTGGGTGGGCTGGCTCTGAGTGGGCGGAATCACTGGGGTGCACCTCAAAACTGCACGCCCTTCCCTGCATCCACTGTGAGGATGGACGGCAGTAACTGCTGTGGCTGGGATCATCAGTAGGTTTTCCTAAACACGGCAGCATCTCATTCTACAATCTCTGGGCTTTCTATCTGACAGCAGGTGGCTGAGAAATAACTTCAATTCCATTATCTAAGACAACTTACATCCTGGAGTCAAACCACCATTTGAGTCCTATCCCGCTGAGGCTGAGGAGTCTGATTTTGTCAAAAACAATGAAATGATTTTAAACCACTCTGTTAAAACAGAAACCATACTACCCGATGCACAACACATCCATCAGGGCTCCTAAGCACAAAAAATAACCACATCCATCTCTCGAGATGTCGAGGGTCACAGTGGAAAGAACAGCATCTGTCTGCAGCACACGGATGTCATGCTCGGTCCTCAGCAACAACAGAAGAGCAGCTACGACTTCTGGAGTCTGTGGGCAGAGGGCAATGCGGAGGGACGGCTGGTGCTCCGAAACCCTTCCCCTCTGCGTACTCACTGTGTCTCCGCCCCCAGCAGCATTTCCACCTTCTCATTTGCGTGGTTATTCAGCACTGTCAGAGTGAAGAGGTGGCTGGCAGAGCTCTGTCTTGAGTAAAGCATTGTGGAGCTGTTCTTCCCTGGAGAAGAATTAAGCTCTTCGTTGTCACAAGATTCCACCAAGAGCTGATCTCTTAAGGAATAATCATTGACGTTGTAACTTTCTTCACTACAGAGAAAAAGCAAAAGAGCATGCCAGTTTTTTAGTGGATAAAACTATAACACCGTTAAAAAAAAAACAAAAACAACACTGTCAGTTGTCAAGTCACATTCTGGAAGAACGGGCAGGAAGAAAGGAGGGAGAGAATGACCCATTTTCCAGTATCATTTGGAATCTGAATTGTATCTGCTGACTGTAGATCAAGGTAGCCTTCCCCAATTAGAACTATTAATTACTCTTATTGATAGAACATATTAAATTGAATCTCAAGTTAAACCAGTACTTAAAAATACCAAGCCCTATAACTCATGGGCCGCCATCCCTGAACTGGTGTAACGAAGGAGACACGCAGCCTCCTGCGGATGCTCAGGCAGTGCACCTCCCCAGCTCCCTGCATCACCTGCAAAAAGAGGGAAGTGCGAACCTATCCATACTGTGGGTACCGCGGCTTCACCCCCTGCTTCAAAAGGAGCCTGCAAAGGACCGAAGAGCTACAGGGCTGCTGTTTGCCCACCCCACCCACCTCTCCCACACTCACAGCCTCACTACCTGTTCCAGAAGCCACCCTTGATTAACTCTGCCGTGGCTCCATCTGCTGATGCCCGGGCCCCGGCACTCCCCTAGACCAGAGGGAGCTAACCTGTGGCACTTGTTTTGTTTTCAAGAAAAAAAGATGTTAATGTTTTTTCTCAACTAAAACCTCAGCATTCAGGTTTAATTGCGGTGTTGGCACTTTGCAACAAGTAAGTGGGTTTTGGGTTGCAGTTTGGACACTCACCTCTAAAAGGTTCGCCATCACTGCCCTAGACTCTTGTGTGGTGTGTGTGCATGGCGGATACTGGGGATTGAACCTAAGGGCATTGTACCACTAAGCTACTACCCCAGCCCCTCTGATTTTTTATTTTCAGACAGGTTCCCACTAAGTTGCCCAGCCTGGCCTCAAATCTGTGATCCTCCTGCCTCAGCCTCCTGAGTAGCTGAGATTATAGGCATGGGCCACTGCCGGTGGCTCCCCTAGATACTTACTCCCTTCTCACTATGAACATGCCTAATCTGCCCCACTTTCTTCAGCCGGTTCCTGAATACTTCCCAGCACATCTTGAGTGAGTGCCCTTCTTTAGGGAATCCAGTAAATGTAAATCCCGTCTCTTCTCTGAACCCTCTGGGTTCCTTCGAATCAGTGAGTGTCTTCTAACAGAGCCCTGCTCTCTCCAGGACACTGCACCCCTGAAGGCTCCCTGCCTGCTCACTTCTCATCCTGCTTCTAGATAATGACACTTCCTCCTCCTAAAAGGCCTTAGCTTAGAAGCTTGAGTGATCTGTGTCTATCTCAGAATCATAGTTATCTCCCACCCCTGAAAAACTCCCCATCCTCCACACCTGTTTTGGTACATTGCCAAGCAGAGGATCCTTCCATTACTCTGGTCGCCCAGTTTCCTGACTTCATCTTCCCCCATGACCTCTTCCTCTGCCCTACCTCAACCACCCACCCATGGTCACACTTCAGACTGTGCACCACAATCAGCCACAACCTCTCTGTAATCCCAACGTCAAACAGACCATACTCTACCCAGCATCTTGTCTTCCCAACCCACCCGTCAGTCCTAAACCCTAACAGTTACTTCACCCACTAACTCCTCCTATTCATCACTCTGCCCCTTTAAGGACAGGGCCCCTTAAACCCCTCTAGTCTACTGGTTCACACATATTCTCTTCCCCAGCTTGGATTTCTTGGCATGTCATTATAATCACTTGCACACATTCCCATTTTCTTTGTTCTATTTGTTTAACAAATCCCAAGCCTGGTTAGATACAACTCACCCTAAATTCGGCCTCCTTGCATGTGAACTTAGAAGTGCTCAATAAGTAACTATTAAATAAATGTTGAATAAGCAATAAGCTAATATATTCCAGGAACACACTGTTACATAAGGGACACCTTATGTAGCAATAAATGTAAATATCTGAATTGAGAGAAGCTAAGGAAAGAAAATCCCTTGTCTCTAGTCAAATACCCTAGAAACTTCAGAACAAGCCATTTCGTTCAAGATTTTTTTTAACCTAGTGGTGAGCATCTGCCTATCAACCACCACCACGTAATTCTCCTTGGAAAACTCTGATGTTTTCAAAATTAGGTTTGATACATTCTCCCCTCACAAAACAGGAAATACAGATATCTTCTATAAAAACAAAATACTATCTTCAGGTTGAGCCTATTTGTTGCTAGGGCAAACTTTGAATCTGGATCAATTCAAAGTTCTCCTGACAAGATGACCTCTGAAATTCTCCCTGAGACTTCCTGAAACCAGCACATCCACAGCCAGGAGGTGTGAAATGCTGCCCCTATCAAAATGAGATTCACCAAAGCACAGATAAGGTTTACGAAAGAAGTGGTAACACACTTTACAAACACACACGCTTTTATTTTTAAAAGACTATGGACTTCTGGAAAGATGGCAGATTGGTAAGCAGCAGTAAGTAAGCCTCTCCCAAGATTTGGAATAAAGACCTTGGAAAATAACAACTTGGGGAATAAAAGGAGGAGGGAGGTAGATCCCTGGAACCCAAGAACTATCTGAAGGGAAAACTGGAGGCCACAGGAATACTGAAGAGACAGAACACAATGTATTCAAAGGAAAGGATAATCTGCACTTTCTCTCCAGCTCCTGGCTTGTGGCAAAAGAAAGGAAGATCAAATCTACAGAGACACAGAGAAAAACACCAGTGGAATGAACGGAACAGTGGATGCTGTGCACTACAGCAGCCAGTGAGTGACCCCAGTCCAGGTGTCTGCCATGTCCCCTGGAAAGGGTGCCGGCTCAGATGCCATTTTAGGGAGGGGGCAACTGAACCAGGGTCTCAGAGCAGCTGAGATTTCGCTTCATCTCAGGGCTCCCTGCGTTAAACTCCCACCGTGACTGGAAAAGGGACAAACAAGGCAGATATTTATGGTCAAGAAGCCATGATCAGGCTGGCAAGAGATACCCAGAGTGTTAGAAGTTAAACAACTCAGGCCCCACCTCCATGACCGGAGGTCAGGTTAAACCTGAATTTTGGTGGATATTAAAATCTCAGAATGGGCACCTGCCTACCAGCTTGCTGTCTAGCACAGATCTGGGTTCTGACTACCTCTCTTGTCTACCAGTCTCAACAGAGACACTCCCTGGATTGGACTCTACCACAAAATTGTAGACCCAAGAAGGTAACCACAGGCTTGAAATCACAGAGCACTTTCTTTTCTTTCTTTTTTTTTTTCTTTCTTTCTTTCTTTCTTTCTTTCTTTCTTTCTTTCTTTGCTTTTGATATTATTTGTTGTTGTTGTTCGTTTGGTTTTTAAAAAACTGTTTTTGGCTGCTTTTTGTGAGTGCGAACACTGTTTTTAGTTTGTTTGTTTTGTTTTGCTCTTGGTTTTGTTTTCTCCTCTCTTTCCTGTATTCTTCATCAGTTTCCTGAGGCCTGGGTAATCTTCCACTGCTCTTCAGCCTTGTTTCTAATCTCTTTTTCTTCTTTCACTTCTTTATTTTTTCCTCTTTTCCCTTTTAAATTTTCTCCCCTTAGAGTAAAATTTCTCAACTGAGTGGATAATAATGATGTAATTTTCAGATTTGTCTTAGATTTTGTTATAGAACTATAAATCTTGTACCTATGGCTAAATGTGGCAAATTATGAGTTATCACAGTTCATCAATTTCTAGTCTGTGTTTGATGCTACAGTTATTACTGATTATACTACTTTAGCCTACATGACATAGTTGTGTTCAATTGATCTTCCTTGTATGCCAATACCAAGACTGTCTTGGGGTCATAAACAATACTATGGCCCAGTCTCCAAGAAATGGATGTGAGGCCAAGTCTCCAAGAAATGGATGTGAGGCCAAACAGTTTGCAATCTTTCATCCATAATAAACAGAAAAGGCAGGATCCTAGGACAGACTCAAAAGCCAAAAGCCAGGTACACCTAGAAGATATCTGTGAAAAATAGTTATTTCCTTAAGAGGTCTTGAAACTAGTAATAAAGCTATCTACCATAAGCAATTCACAAGGCTCAGAGTAGAAAACAAATGAGCAAAAAATACATAGAAAATGAGAAAACACACAAGGAAGATGTAATTGAACACACCCAACCTTTCCCAGGAAAATCCAGGGAGCACCCTGAGGTGGAAGAAACCAAAGGCCATCCAGCTGAACTTTCTGAAATGGTAATAGTGGAAGCGACAAAACACATGAATGTCTCTTGACAAAATCAAAACAAATAATTACACAGATGATTAAAGAGGATAACCACAATGAAAGAAATGGTTAGTGAATCTAGAGTAGCTACAGATTAGAAAAAAAATAGTTTTTAGTCCAACATGAATGTCCAACATGGGAAGTAACTGGATGCCACAAAACAGATTCAAACAGATACCCAGGAGATTAAAAATTCTTTGGCAAGTACATGCAGCAGAATCGACCAATGTGAAGATAGACTTAACAGATATAGAAGACAGAGTTGTAATTAGTGATCATCAAATGAAAAACTTCTTAAAAATAGCAAGGTTCCACAAAAAATTCAATCCAATGGCTGCTAGATGATGCAAAGAAAAATAAGATTAATTGGAATCAATCAAATATCAGAGATAGCATAAAGGATATAATGATCTAATTCACAGAAGTAATAGAAAAAACTTTCCAAGCATAGAAAAATAATTTGGCATACAGGTAAATGAGGCATATAGAACTCCAAGTAGCCATAATCAGAGGAAAAGCTACACCAACACAGGATCAACGCAACAGAATATAAGACACAGAAAGAACTCCAAGCATACTCAACTATTTTATCTTTGACAAAGGGGACAAACACCTTCACCTAAAAGGAAGATAGCTACTTTAATAAATATTGCTGGAAAAACTTGCTCACCACATGCCAAAGACTGAACTCTCATAACTCTCACCATGCACTAAACTGAAATTGAAATGGATCAAAGATATTAAAACAGAAACTCTTAATCTGCTGGAAAGTAGAACAGA